CACACACACACACACACACACACACACACACACACACACACACACACAACACACACACACACACAGGCCGACAAGCACTCAGACAGGCACGCAGACCATCAAGCGCACACACACACACACACACACACAGACTTAGAGAAGTCCGCAGAATGCCGGAATCTCAGCAAGGCATCTATCCCAGCGGCAGAACTCAGAAATCAGCAGTGTTCTCGGTCTGTGTTTTGGCGGGTCATTATAACTGTGTAAAAGCTCCAATACGGTCATGATAAGGCTGTGACACTTTTTTTTTTTTTTTTTTTTGGGGGGGGGGGGGGTACAGTAGGAATGTTCGAAGTTCAAAAAACAACTGACCTGGAAAATCTTCAAAGGACCTTCTTTCTTGATTTCTCGGTTATGCGCACCACAGTTTTCACATTTGGAGCCCGATATGTTCTTGAAGAACTCTCTCAGGATCATTCTGGCAAGTCCGAGCGTGTGCGATGTCCACTGCATGCTCCACCTATCGCTCCCTCTATCCGCTTTCAGCCCACGTTTGTCGCCAACATCCCCTCCTGTCTGAAGTTGAGTCTTCATGTCACTCTCGTCGCCGAGGTCCATTTCATCCACCTCCTCCAGTTGTTTGTTAGATCTCCTTCTCGTCATAGTCAACGATGAGGACAACGCCTCCACCACGCGCCCCTGCGCCAAAAGTTCTAGCTGCGTTGCGTACCTGTTTATCTGCATTGCAACACACACACAGTTGGATTTCTAGTGTGAGGCAACCGGAAACACTGCGATCCATACATCCGCTTCCATTTCCATGTGGACACTGTGAGCAGAGCAGAGGCAGCAGACATTTGAATTTATCAAAGGGCGCAATTTTGCCGGCCACTGAGATTCTCAAAAAGGCAAATTAATTACGGAAATACAAGCCCTCTCCTTCCCTGACCACATTTCTTAATTTACTAATTTAGTCATTAATACTCATTATTGTCTTATTATAGTAACAAAACTACTATAACTAATTACCCAAATTAATTATGGAAATACAAAGCCCCCGAGAAGTCAGAATAATCAATTAACGAACACCCCAGATCAGGAGACTTTCTTTTCGCTTGCGGAGGGGTAGGG